GAGGCAGAAAGCTGGAGCTCTGCAGCACACCTACGCCAGGTGCTATCCAGGTACACCTGCTCAGCTGGTTGCCATAGCAACAGTTAAAAACAGTGGGCCAAGAGGAAGTGAAGTGGGGCTCAAGAGGTGTGTCATCCTGGAGGTGGGAGGAGGCGCTGAAGGGCTCCCTGAAATATTCTCTGTCTGCCCTCCTTTGTCTCAGAATGCAGAGAGGTAGGAGCTTGTGGGGGTGCAACTTCCCACACAAAGGCCATCACCTGGGGAGCCTCTTAGGGCTTTCCCATCTGCCATTTCATCCGCTCTCACAGAAATCCTGCAGGAAGAGGGGGCAGGGGTGAGGAGCTCTACCATGCAAAGACAAAGGGCTCAGAGCACTTTCATGACTCAGTTGTTGGGGTGCTGGGGGCAGAGCCAAGCCCGAGTCTAGAAGTGATTTTCAAACAGTGGCTCACCAACTACCCATATCAGAATCCCTGGTGTGATTCTTAAAATGCTGATTCTAGGGCCTCCAGAGCCACTGAATCACGACCCATGAGTCTGAATACTGTCTTCTACAAGTCCCCAGAATCTCCTCTCTGTCTGCAGAAGCTGCCCTTGATTTCACCATAAAATGGTAACTGGGTTTGAGCCAACAAAGTCTGTGTCCAGGGCTTTGCACTGAGCTCTTTCTCAAGCGCATGCTAAGCATTCCCCCCAGAATGAAAACTAGTTGGTTGTTATTACACAAGCACCTAGTAGGTGCCATTTGAAGCCTGGGGCACAAAGAGGGAGAAACCAGATTTTTGAAAGCAGAGTTCCTGGCCAACAGGACCAGAGCAGTCCTCAAAGATCACAGCCTCCTTACCACATAAAGGAGGAAAACAATGTCCGGAATCCCACAGCTGGAGCTAAAGCCACAAAGTCCCTGGCTCCTATCCCAGGGCACTTGGGGATCCTCCCACCCACAAAACAGCAGGGAAATTGCCTCTGTTGTCCAGACCCTCCCCAAAGCAATTAGCTGCATAGTCTATTTGCTATTCCCAAGACTATTCCCACCCCTGCTTCCAAGTTTTAACTGAAGCTCTGGATGGTTTTCTAACATCTTCAAGTCACTTTTTGTAACACCTGAGAGTCTGTATTGGATCGAATTCCCTGGAACTTCATAGACTCTGCAACCTTCAGACAGGTCCTTGGAAAACAGCATTAGAAAGCAGGGACTTGACAGGGCAGAGTTGAATGTTGTCCAGTTGATCTGAAAACTAGGTCTGCAGTGAGGGTAGGAGAATGCAAGACAGAAATGTAGAAAGGAAGTGAAAGAAGGAAGGAGATGGGATGCCTAACAAGACGTAGAGAGGGAGGCAGAGAGAGGGATAATGTTTAAGGAAGGACACAGTCCATAATTCATATATCCATCTTCTCCACTCATGCCCAGGTCTTGGAAGGACTGACCTATGTCTGACTCATATCGATGTACCAGTGCTTAGCCCTTGGCCTGACAGACAGCAGCTGCTGTGTGTGGATTTGTCAAACAGTGAACTTAAAGATGTCTTTGCAGGACAAACCTACAAAGAAAAGTGTATCTTTTTTGCTATTTTATAAGTGACAAAATTTAAGTCAGAGAGCCTACATCAGTTACCCAAAATGCCATGGGCTCTAAAAGGTGGGCTGAGACTTTATCTTAAACCAGGCTGACCCCAAAGCCTCCCATTAGCCACATTTGGAGAGGTAAACTCTCCAGACTTCCTGTGCATACAAACCAAGGAAAACTTATCTTAGTTATTGGGGCTAGTTGGGCCAGAATGAATGTCCCCCAGAAGTCAAAAAAGGGACGTATGGCCAACAAGGTTGGTATTTCAGCCAGATGCCCTCATATCTCTTTTCTTCTTTCCATGTGTCAATCTTTCAGATTCTGTGTGTCTTTAATTCTAACTACCAGCACCTGAGACTCTCTTTGGAGGCCTAACCTAGGGCTACAGACAACGGCTTTCCTGTCAGCTGCAGGGAGCCAGAGGTCCTGGGGGTCCTATTATTTTGGCTAGTGATTGGCAGGTGTGTAGGAATGTGAGCCCAGCTCCCTTGCAGGGTGAGGCACACTGTGGAGTTGTGCACAGCACAGATGCCCTCCAAGGGACATGGCCTGAAACTCCACCTCATTGGGCAACTTCCCTTTCTAACGTCTGCTACATCCGGACCAGTTTCTGCTGGCCTCCCTTTCTTCCCTGTACATGAATCCTGGTCTCAGGATCTTTTTCTGGGGAGCCCAACATAAACCAATGGGAGGAAGAAAGCTACCCCATTAGCCTGGTGTCCAGTGAGTAGGAAACAATGAGCAAATGCTTCATATTAACAGCTACCTTTTATTAAATATCCACCATGATGAAATGTCTCTCAAGTGCTCCAAGAACACTGCAAGGTAGGTGTGGTCATACCCATTCTAAAGATGAGAAAACCTAGGCTCTGAAACCACTCAGTAATTTCCCCAGCATTGCAGAGCCAGGCATGCTAGGGAGGGGATTTGAATCCAAGGCTTTCCCTTACCCAAGATGCCTCCATATGCTATTTGCTTATCCTTCTGGCCATCTACCATCTGCCTTTGTTTTTGGGGAGAGTGGGGTGGGGAGTAGTGCCAGAGGGATCCTTGTATCCACAAGGCCCAGTAAGTGCCTGGCATATAGTAGGTTTTCTGTATTTGTTGACTGATTGAGAAGAACCAAAAACTCAGAAGTGTTTCTGAATTTTCCCCAAAGTTCTGTTGACATTTTGAGAAAGCATTGAGTATCCATGAGTTAGATTCCCATGGCAAATAATGAGACCCAGGACAGAGGCTTGAAGATCTACATGGCGCTTACTTTTGGAACCCTGAATAGGGGTTCTCAGCTGACACCCAACTTGTAGAAATCCTGTACATTCAGCTCTGCTGAATAAGTGGGCAAGCAAAACACAAAAATGAAATTACAGTATCAAAAACAGTTTCCAATTTTCAGAAAATAATGTACCTGCATATCATAAATTGCTTCTTTAGAGCCTTCCCATTTTGTACCTTTTAAGACGAAGACAATGAAGTGTTCTATTTGGATTTTAAAAAATGAGGTGCCCCTTTTACAGAGTTTCAAAAGGAGGCATTAGAAGATTTGAATCTAACTGAAACCTCTGAACCTGCAAAGAGGAAAACTTCAAGAGGATGTGACAAAATTATTTCTAGCAACCATGACATTTCTTGATGTGAAATGCTTTCTTTGTACTGTACAACGAACGCAGCATGAGTTGAGATTTGGAGTCTGACAAGAAAATAAGTGAGATGCCAAGCTGACAATGTAGACAGTCTTCTTCTATGAAGGTTTTACCTCCTTAACAGGCTCCAGATCATACTAGCAACTTCAAGAGGGCTAAGTGGGATGCTAGAAATGGTGGAACCGGCACTTGACCTTACATAAGTCACTGAAAATTTCAGTTTCCTTATCTTTTAAATGAACAGTAAGGTCCGGTAATTAAGATCTTCTAAGCACTGGGCTGGGAAGAGCTTGTTTTGAAAGAAGGACGTAATGATTAAAGTCTCCAACACGCCCTTAAATAAATCATCTCCAGACAAGTCTGATGAGGGCTTCCTGAACCTGGACCATATGCTTTTCTTCCTGGGGAGGGGTGAAGAACTGAGGTCACCACTGTGACGTACTCCAGTATCTGACTGGCCTCATCCCAGGGAATGTGAGGGTATTTAATAGAATTGCTGGGAAAAAAATCATACAGTGTGGTATGTGGTCAGCAGGTTGAGGCGCACAATGGCTGATTTCCAATTACCAGTTGGTGTGAACTGTGCCATGGAAGAAATCCCTCTGTCCTCACATGACAGCCTAGAAGAGTTGAAGTATGACCGAAAGCAATGTTCGAATGATGCCTGATGGGAGTTGGTGCGTAAACACCCCAGCTCCGTCTGCACTTGGATGGGATAATTCTGAGTGTGTTCTACACCCTCTCCCAAAATTTCGCTGCAGGGGACATGATCAGGTAGCCTTTACTGGCTGCTTTATTTCCCTCTGTCCCCTTCCACCAGCGTGCCCTTCAAATAAACCACCTGCACAGAAATTCTTGTCTCAGGACCCCTTTCTGGAGAGACCATATTAAGGCAGGATTTGCCTGAAAACTTCAAACTTAATGCTAACAGAAGCCTGAAGTTCATAAAATTTAATAAAATGGGTAAGAAGGCAATCTTCCTAACCCTTCCATTTGTCTTTTACAACCCAAGACACTGGTAAAAAGAAAAGTGCCAATCTCAGCAAGATTATTGACCGTTAAGGATAAATTTAGCTAACAATGGCATACTTTTTTTAAGGCAGGAAGTGAACTAAGAGACATGATACAGACTCTTACCAAAAAGGCTTCAAACAAAAACATCTGTGGAAATTTGTGTTAGTTATTAGTGAAAAATGTCCTTATCCTGTGACAATCTCCCTTAGAGTCTGAGTACGTATTAAAGATTTAGCTCTCTATGCTAATACCAGTGTCCCCCAGTGAAAACTCAGATTAGGATGTATGGCCTTAAAAGTATTAACATCCAACACAAATGGAGACGAGACTTGAAAGTTCCCTGAGTGGACAAAAACACTGTAGTTCTAGAAGCAAAGCTTAATGGGCTTCACTTTGTAAGGCGAACAAGGCTAATTTGACCTGGGTCACTTCTTGCTTACGCCTCTGAAAATCCTAAGTGTAACATAACCTATTCCCCCAAATGGATATGAGGCAACCAATTCCCTTTCATTTAGGACAATTCTAGTATTGTAATCAACCTCTCTGACGAATACTGCCTCCACACTATAGAAGCTGCTATATAACATGTATCCCCGAGCCTCATTCCATGTTGGGTTTTGAGTGCTCCGGTTTGCAAACTGTCTTTATGGCACATACACAATAAACTTTTCCTAATTACCACTTGGGCGACTCATTGATTTTGCTCCTGCACAGTTTTTGTTCTTTCTTTCTGAACTTTTGACAAAAGATGCATGACAACCCCAACCGTATCACATATAATCAGTTTTATTGCCAGGTAAGAAATTCATATTAATATAGTGAATACATATGTTTACAAATAAACATTCTTAGAAAACAAACAAATGTTTTTTTCTTCATTGTAGGAAGTATTATTGGTATCATAAACTCTGCAGTTGTTGACAAATATTAACACAGGTTTACTTGCAGAACATACGGTTACTAAAATATTCGCACATAAAATATGCTCCATTTACACACACAAAAAGAACGGGGTGGGGGGAGTTCGATGGGGTTGCCAGGCAGAGCCCAAGGCGGATGGAGGCCGAGATGCTCTGGGAGAGCAGAGGGGCATCAGACTCCGGTCCCATTGGGTTGGAAGTCAAGGGACAGCTAAAGGCAAGAAGTGGAAGCTAGTGCCAGGGCATGGCATGGAATGGGGAAGAGACAACCTCTCTTTCTTCTGGATTCCCTCTTCTAAGGTTCCCCAACACAAGCAGCAGGATCCCTGTTTTACGTGGCAGTCACAGGTCCACAAGTCTGCCTTCATGAGACTTTCAGTTATATGGCGTCCATCCACCCTTCCCAACCTGCACCCTCAGTTCAGCTCCCAAAGCCAACGGGAAGGTGATGAGGCTGAGAGATACTATTCTTGGGCTGTCATTGGTGCCACATCTCATTGACCATGTGGCAACTTCACTGTTGGAATGATAAATGCAGACCCCCAACTATCAAAATTCACCAGTGAAGTTTACTCAGAGGAGAAGGAAGGTGGAGAATATGTAAAATTATTCGTCAGGTCCTGGATCAGGGCTGGGATGAAGGTGAGAGGAAGTGTGAATCAAGGGCAAGGAACTAGAACTGCAGAACTTAGAGGCAGGAGGGAACCTCACAGATGGGCCAACCTGGTATTTCCTGAACTGTGCGTGTGTACCACTGGTGTATGCAAGATGGTTTTTAGGAGTACGTGGATATAGCATTAATCAAGCCTGAGTCACAAAGAAAACGATTCCCTTTTCATTTCTGTCAATCCATCTGCTTCCTTCAAGGAGAAAGCCTCCATTGGGTACTGGTGTACCTTTTAACAACTCCTTAACATCTGCTAATCTCTTTTTAATAAAGAAAAAGGGAGAGAGTGAGGGAGAGTGAGAGAGGACAGAGAAGGAGAGAAAGGTAGAGAGGGAGAGAGAGAAAACACACCCCAGAGAGAACACCCAGCCCTAAGATCAGACCTCTCCACCAGCCCTAACCTCTGGTGGCTAGAATGTAATGATTGCTACTTCTTTGCCTTTATATTTCTTTTTATACTTAGGTACTTTCTATTTAGGGTGATTGCTACTGGATTTTTATTTGTGATGATGGCAGGAAGTCTTCCTTTAAAAAGTTAACTATATTAAGAAGGGATTTAGATACAATATTGTGACAGTGATACACAGAGATGTCCAAGGTATGTTGCAGGTACACAGATGAACTAACACCCAGGAAATACCACCAAGCTCTGGGGAGTGCAGGGAGCTCAGCCAAGAGGCTGAGGATGTGGGCACTCAATCTCCCACCCCTGCTTCATCCAGCACAAAGCCACCTTATAAAGGGGGAGCTTAGAGTGTGGCTTCTGTGCACAATATCATTTTTGAAAATGGGCAGAAGCTTTGCTGTGTCAAATGGCTTGAGCAGCTTGATCTTGCCGCAGTTGCCCATGTTTCAGATAGGAGAGTAAGGCCCAGAGATCAAATGCATTGTCAGTGTGTCCACATCAGCTGGGAGAGAAAAGAAAATCAACACCTGGTTTCCCTGATTCCATGATGTCAAAAGTGGAGAGACAGGTGAGGCAGAACGCTGGAGTTCAGCATTCTGGGGAAGGCTTGTTGGACCAGACCATGCAAAGCCCCTGAGGCCAGAAGAGCTGGGGGTTGGGGTGGGGGGCTCTCCCTGGTATCCAGTTCATCAGCTAAGAAACCTTCAGAGACTGGTTGAGCACTTCGCACCTTCAATGAAAATCTCTCTCCACTCCCCTCTTTGGCCTTCCACTAAACAAACAGCCCTAGTGGTGACACTGTCTTTGTGGGACACCAGGGGCTTTTGGCTATGAGAACCCAGCTGAAAAACGTCAGGGAACTCTGGATGGGAGACGACTGTGTGGAAGTCTCTGTGGAGGTGGCTGGGAGGGACTGTGGGCATCATGAGACTCAGTAATACTTGATAGGTTTGGGGGAGCTAGAAAATGGTGGGGCTGGTGGATTCTTGACCATGTGAGTGGGAGGGGGGTCTTCATCCTTAGGTACCCCTGACATTGCAGCAGCCCCCTCAGAGCGCGGGATGGGTGGGCTCACCAACAAAGGGAGGACAGAAACACCTTCTACTGCAGAAAAACAGGAGGGAGGGAGGCTAAAAGAACATAGGATGCACTTGAGAAACAAGACTGTCATTAAACAATAACACATTGAAGGCACCACCCACGCTTATGACATTTTCAGTCCAAAGCAGTTGAAATTCGGCAGCGCGGCAGCTACGGGCTGAAGGGAAGGGCACTGGGGAGACAGTTCGTAGAGGACTGGTTTCTGTGTCTCCTTCTCGTGTCTGAGGCCAGGAGGGAAACACTCTGAGTCCCCTCCCTACCTCTTGTCCACTTGTCCACTGTGGATTTTTCTAAATTGTTCTTGATGTCATTGTGGTTTCCTAAGTCTCAAAAATCTGGGGCAAAAATTAATTTGCAGTTCTTGTCTGTTTAGTCATGGGTTTATATTTCTTTTTCTTTTTCTAAAAAAAGTTATTTAACACTCGCTGTGCCCTCTCCCTGCTGTAAAAGCCTATCTCTTCCATTTCCACGGTCATGACCTTTATGGGAGTTTTCTAGAATGTTCTTTCCCATCACTGTTGGTGGGTTCAAGGTCTATCTACTTTCTGTGAGTTTGAGTATGTGTTGTTTTCTGCTTCCAACACTGATGGTATGAAAAGTATTATAAATGGGGTGGCTGGGGGTGGGTTACTGCCTCATGCTCTTTAAAATTTCGCATCCACATCCCTACTTCTTAGAATTAGAAAACGCTTATCCTGCGCACAGGTTCCTCCCCCAAGCAACTCCTCCTCCCAAGCACACGCTTCTCCTGCTACCTGCCCTCATTCTCCACCTGCTCCCACCCTTCCTCTTCCACCCAGAAACAGAGCTTGGTCAATGGTGTATGTGCTCGAATGGGTAATTTCTCTAAATTGTGCTACTCTTTTTTTTTTTCCGTCATGGATTTCATTTTTGAGTCAGGAAGAGAAGAAAAATTAGCCCCGCAGTTTGGGCCCATGAGTTGGCCATCCTGGGCCTGAAGTCGAAAGAGTGTGCCTTGGTTTCCCCTTCTCTGTATTGCTGAACATCCGTGCTCCAGCCTTGCCCAGCTGCCTGCTGACATGTGTCAGGCGGGGCCCAGGAAAAGCGTGACCCCATGTCGCCATAGGTTTGTTGTCAGTTGGTGTGGGGAGTGTGTGGGCGGGTGTGTTGGGGAGGGACAGGGAGGGGAAAGGTAGGTATTTTTTGCCTCTCTCAGTTGAGTGTGTTCTCCATGGTGCTCCCTGCAGTGAAGGCTCAGACAGTCACTTCTGTTTTGCTGTTGGTGATGAAGTATGGCTGTGGGGGTGGGTAGTGCGGGGTGCGGGTCCCCAGGGGGTCACTGGAGCCCGACTCGGCCGTGCCCAGCTTGCCTTTGTTGCCGTAAGCCTGCCGCCGGAGGGACTGCTCGTTGGGGTCCCAGCCCTTGAAGTTGGCGGTGGAGTTGTAAGCCAGGGGATGTGCGGGCATCTTGTTGGTACGGGACTTCTGTCCATTCTGCTTGGCGGGGCCATGCTCGGGGCTGAAGGCCCGCGGCTCGTCCTCCACTCTTACGGGGTGCAGAGGTAGGTTGCCCTTGGCCGCCAGCTCGGCCAGGTGCCGGCGCTTGGAGTAGAAGTCGTCATTCACCTTGTCAGCTGTACAGCAGGACAGGCGCACGAAGAAGGGGAGCAGAGAGCAGACAGGGAAAGAGGAGAGAGAGAGAGACAGTTAAGAATTGGCAAGTCAACCCAGAAGAACATCACAGTGGGCCAGCAGTCCAAACAAGACACACACCAGGAACTCTTGGAGCAGACAGAAGGAAGGACAGAGTCATGCTCTTCCCACAAGCAAGACCAAGACCAAGGATGTAAGGGCAAGAGACTCTCTAGGTCCCCCAGAATAACCCTTCTCCACACAGCACACCCAGCACTCTGCTATCCTTGGCTTCCTTATCCAAGTGTTGTTTCTTTATTATTAAAATGTTGCGTCCTCCTTAGAGAAAACACTGAACATGCTGAGAAAGCTTCGTATCTATCATCTACCACTCAAGACTTGGCTGTATTTTCTTCTGGTCTTCTCAATAAGCAGAGCTTAACTGGAGTTTTTTTTACTGGTGTGTTTGCTTGCTTTTAGCAGTTGGGCAGACATGTGTTCAAATCCCAATTCTGTCACCTACTAGCAGTGTAACTTTGGCTGAATAAAAGTCAAGTCACTTCTTAACTTTTAATCCAAGTTTTCTTCCCAACTCTTTCAAGTATTTCTCTGTATTTGTTATAAATTTATTAATGAAAGCATTTTTGTGCCTACATAACATTTCATCGAGTGGAAGTATTAAAATGAATCAACAGTCCTATTGATGAACGTTCAAGTTCTGCCAATATTTTGCTAATACATGTATAAAGCTGAGACAAGAATCTTTGAGACTGATGCTCTCTTTGTATTTAGACTTACAAATTTAGAAGAATTCTAAAAATACTTTCACAACCTGCATTAGAGGATTGCAAACTATAGCCCATGGACCAAATCTGGCTTCTGCCCGTTTTATAAATGAAGCTTTACTGGAACACAGCCACACCTATTCATTTACCTATTGTCTGTGGCTGCTTTTGCTCTGCAGTGGTGGACTTGAGTATACTTGGCATAGACTGCATGGCCCACAACACCTGAAATATTTACTATCCAGCCCAAACTGAATTACCTGAAGTGGAATTACTTGGCCAAATGGTGTAACATTATTAAGGCCCCTGATACATATTGCCAATTACATTGCCAAAGAGTTATACCAACTTCCACTGCACTTCACCACCCTTCCCAGCACTGATTTCATTCTTTCTTCCTTTTTTAATTCGTTCATTCCTTCCTTCCTTTTTCTTCCCTCTCTCCCCCCTTCCTACCTTCCTCCCCTGCCTTTCTTTCCCTATTTGATAATTTTATGAGACTGCTTTTTGTTTTCTCATGCAATTCTTTTATTATAAGATCCTTGACACATTTTAAATTAATTTCTTATCAGTAAAGCTTTGAGCTTACATCTCTTAGAGACCAGCAAGATCTGCTGCTCTTCCACCCACACTTACAACATTCCACACTATTACACATGTGCATGTACGTAAATTCAAGGAGAGCATCACAGCTCCAGGTTGCTTTTCTCATTCGACCCTTTTGACAACCCTGAGAAGTAGGTGAGACAGGGATTTTCACCCCTGCTTGGCAGATTAGGAAACTGTCAAGCTCAGGCATTTGAAATGACTTAACCAAAGTTACCCACAGCTAGCGGCTGAGCCAAGGTAGGAGCTAAGCCCAACAGCCATTATTTGATGCTTTTCAAAGGCCAGAGAGGGACTGAGTGGGAAGAATAGGCCCCCCTTGCCCCCTCCATGTCGGTGGCAGACTGCACTCATTGATCACAGCGCTTTCTCCTGGCAAATGTGGCCCCTGCTCAGACTCCTTTGCAACACAACCCCGTCAGGAAGCCACATGATAGCTTTCCAGGCTTAATACAGTTCACACTGGGTTTCTGTCCCTGTTCACGTGAACAGCCATGATGTAAGCTTTCAAGAGAAAGTCCCCCTTTCCGTAAATTCTAGAGCTGTCCAAAGACAGAGAATACTAACACCAAAAGCTCTGGACCTTAGAATCTGTTGTTGACGAGGGGAAGAGTACACAATCCTGAAATAGCACGCGCTGCCTAAAGTGGCTTGAGTTAGATTCGAACCCATATTAGATTCACATCTTTCTGCCTTCCAAAGGAAAGCTCTAGGTTTCCAATGCCATGAAGTTCCAACAGAAGGATGCTCCTACATCCCCCTTGGACTTAGGCAGGAACACATATCCAGTTACCTCCAGGATAGATTCACTGGCATCTCCCACTCGAGATGCCCAAGCCTGGACCCGTCAACATCCCTCAGATGTGCTCTTCTGCAGCCTCTTCCTCATCTCTTCGCTTGAGAACACCAACAATCTAGTCACTCAAGCCAGAAACATGGGAGCAGCTTTGGACTTCACCCTCCTCTTCACCCCCAGCACTACTGCTGGCTCACCAAGTCCTTCCTGCTCCATTTAAATGCTACCCCGACCCCCGACCCATTCCATGTTTCCTCCCCACTTGGAGCATGGCTCTGCTGCAGCCCTCAAGCTGGCCCCCCTTACTTGAGTCTCACCTCCTCTATCCAGTCCATTCTCCACACTGCAGCCAAAGGCATATTTCTAAAATGCAAACCTGATAGTGACATCTATCAGAACCTCTTCAAGCAATTTTCTCAGTCATTCAGTCATTTGTCAAACAGGCAGGGGCTGTGGGCTAGCCCCTGGGAATATAAGGGAGAATCAGAAACAGACACAGACATTCTATTAAGGTGGGACAAAAGTGACAGAATAATCACACAAATTGCATGAAAGAGTGCTATAAAGAACCATCCAGTCTCATGAGTATGTATAATGAGGCCTCTGAGTTGGTCTGAGAACCAGATATTGGAGCTTTGGGAGCAGGGACCTTCTATCTCCCTCTATGTGGCTCTCAATTTCCTCTGTGTACATAGGAATTATATCATGCAGAATCTTTTAAAGCATTCAGATTCCTGGATATGTCCCCTAAACAATTTAAGCAGAACTTTTGAGGGTCTGGCCCAGGCATAGATTTTTTAAAGCCCCATCCCATCCCTGCCTGGGTGACTCTTATGATAGCCAGAGCTAGAACCAACAGCTACAGCCCCAGCATCTAGCACACTAAGCTGGTATTTCATTTTTGTGAACAAAAGAGCCATTGACCTCCCATCTCACTCCTGTTATCCCCAGCTGCCTCTCACCCTGGGTACCCCTCTTTTCTAGGAAGCCTGACAAGGTCAGATTCCACTGAAGTAGGGATCTTCTCCATGGCATGTGCCATAACTGCCATTTTATACTAGTTTATGAATTCGTTCTTTATTGTCTGTCTCTTCCACTCATTCTCTCTTCCAAGAAGGCAAGGCCAGTCTGCTCTTTGCCCATTATTGTGTGAGCAATGTCTAGCCTAGTTCCTGGCACAGTGTAGGTGCTCAGTAAATATTCAGTGAATGAATGTAAGAGCAAAGTACCATGAACACGTAGAGAACCTGAGAGCAATAGTAGCAATGGAAGCTCCTTTTCCCTTCCTCTTAGTAGTCTCTTTCACCCTCATTATGTCCCCAGTCAGGGTCCAGAGCCATTCATCCCCATGTTTCTCTTTCCAGACAATGGGCTAGTCTAAGTCTCCTAAGAGTAAGGGATGCATTGAGGGTTCCTGTTCTTGATAAACCAAGAATATTGATTATGAAGTAGGTGTCCCAGGAGCTAGGCAATGGCTTCTAAAACAGTTCAGAGGCATTGAACTCAGCTATATCAGAGCAGGTAAAAGGGAGAGGCCCCCACTAAGAGGAACCATGGACCCCCACAGGGAGTGGGACATTCTTCTCCACCCCAACCTTGATTTGGTCTCTCAATGAGAATTTGGGTACTTCTCAGCATAGAAAGTGCTGGGAACTCAGCACAATAGTGGAGTGGACAGAAAAGTCTGTGGGCTCTGAATGAGACAGACCTGAATTTATGAGGCTTCATGCAAATCACATGTCCTCTTACAGCACCATTTCCTTAGATGTGAAATGGGGATACTCTCAGATGTATTCTCAGGGATAAAGTATATGAGATATACAAGCTACATAGCGTACTTCTTAAATATAGTAACTATTCAATACATATATTTTGTCTGTCTCCTGGCTTGTGACTGAAGAGCTGGATTAAATCCAGCAGACTTGTACTGAGCACTCACTCTATGCCAGGCAACCTAAGGACAAAGTCAGCATTCATCCAAACTAACCACCCTTCTTTCCTTTCCTCCTTCCCTCTTTGTTTCCCTTTACCTCCACATGTGTTGGCTGTCTAGTTTGCCCTTGATCTGTGTGGGACGAAGTCCTGATTAGGGGAGGCATTCTTGAGGATGGCTCTTTAGCCATGGTCTCAAGGTGAAGAGTAACACAAATCGCATTCCAGGAGAGGAAGCATGTGGCATATAGAAAAAAATGGCCATAGTATTCTGCAGTTCCTTCCATCAAGAGGTGGAGTCTATTTCCCCACCCTTTGAATCTGGTCTGACTTCATGACTGGCTTTAACTAGCAGGCTACAGCAAAAGTGATGTCATGCGTGTCCTGGACGTGGGCTTTCCAAAGTCCTATACCTTCTGCTATCAGGCTCTTTGGAACCTTGTCTCTATGTGAAGAAGGAGCCCAGGTTAGCCTTCTGGAGGCTGAGAAGCCTGCAGGCAGTTGCCCATGTTCACCACAAGCAAGGGCCTGCTAATGGCCAGGTGCTGGGTGAGACCTTCCTGGGCCATACAGCCTGGACCATACAGCTGACTTCAGAGACCAAGTAAGTGGCCAAGAAAAGCCCACCCAGCCCAAAGCAGAGCTGCCCAGCTGACCCAGCCTTATGAGCCCCATAAATGGTTGCTCTGTTGGCTTTGGGGTAGTTTGTTACGCAGCAGTTAGTAACCAATACAGAACAGCATCTTGGAAACACTGAGACAGGAAGGAGGCCAGCAGCTTCAAGAAACAGAGAGAGTATCTGTGTGGTGGAGTGGAGAAAGCAAGAGGTCAGCAGATCCTCTAATGTCCTATAGGCAAGATTAGATCATTCCCACCTCTTTAT